TTATTGTAAGTGTTGTTACAGGTTCTCTGTTTGCTGTAGTGCAGCAGGTTAACGGAGGGTTTGGTCAGTGTTTTCCTAAAAGACACACATTTTCACAACTGCTTACTGCTTACCTATTATGTATAATTTCTCCTTGTCTGATGCTGCCCTTTATCTAACGTTACCTCCGGTAACTGAAGCAACGGGCTTTACTGCTGACTCAGCATTTAACCGATGTGTTTGCTGTACACAGAATACTCCAGTTGTTTGTTTTTTTTGTTTTTTTTTATGATAACAACCTCTAGGCCTACTATAAAGAGAAAACTGGCTTTTTTTCAAATTAAAGCCAGCCAGAGATTGTGTCTATTTATGAAAGGAAATAATGTTAGAGTTAGTTAACCCTGTTGACGCGTGATATAAAGGTTAAAATACCGTTTTGACTGACTCCAATTGAAATGTAAATGCAGCTAATTGAGACGAAAGGGCCAGATGCCACCAAAGGACATACTATATAAAATAGTGTAGCTACAGTATGAAGAAAGAAGGATGACTCTCCGTAGAGAAGTGAACTAATGAGCAGAGACACGGCTGGTCACATTCGGTAAAGCGCAGGAAGAGATGTGTGTTTTCTGCAACGTGTGCAAATCCTCTGCTAAACTAAAGACATATTTTGTATTCAGCTCATAAATACATGCGTTTTTTCTGGTGTTATTTCCTCAAAGTCTAACTTAACATGTAGAGTGAAGTCGAGTATTTTCAGTGTATCTTTTCCGTCGGTGTTCCTGTACAGGACGTAGGCCTACGCATCACCCGTTCGCCTCACATGGTTCACGCCTTCAGCTATTGCAGGCTAACTGCTGCAGGACATCGGTATTTTGTTAATGTTAATGTCAAAGCCTCTCCAAACATTTGATATAAAACCCCTCAGGGCTGAATGCCGGTGAAGGTTATATTTTATAAAGAGCTTTTGTGGCGTGCTGTGTATTCAGCTTGCTTCACTAAATTATGCAGTGGTTTGCTATAAGACACACACCTGTGCAAATATAGCCTAACGCATCAGATCAGGGTACCCGTATCTTTGGCGCCGGGGCACGGTAGGCCCGGTACCGGGATAATCCCTTATCGGGGGCATCCTGTTTCTTGGTGTCTACATCAAAGGCTTTACAAATCTGCATTTCGTTATTGTAACACTGAATTGTGATCTTTCACTTTCCTCTGTCATCATTGTCTTTAAAATGTTATTTATATGTTTGAATGAATCAGGTGTATTTTATGTAGGTGCTCGCCTGCCTTAAATTGCCCCTTCAGGAACAAATAATTAAGTGTTGGCATTGAAGTGCAAGAGTGTGCAAAAAGAAAAGCAGCTTAACTATATTGAAAAATATGTGCAAATGGCTGCGTCAGTATTGAGTGTTTTCGCTGGATGTGATCAGCAGCAGATCTATGTTGACTTCTATGAGAATAAAAGGATGAGCGTCAGTTCAGATAAAGACCTATTATTTATTCTTCCTGACGGGAGACTTATTGTTACAGTGGACAGTGCAGATAACAAGTTAAATAATAGGAGTTGATTTAGACATTTAATAAATGTACATCATTCGTAAATTTTAAATACTAACTGACAACGAATACAGAAAATATGTTCCCCCCCTGCTGCTCCCCCCCCCCCCCCCCCCCCCCCCCCCCCCCCTGCATGGAGGCAGATATGTTTGGTTAATGATTTATAGAGAGCAGCTTCAGGGTGTTTGTCTTATTTTTCTTTGGCCTGGTGATGTTTGACCGTCCCTGAGACAGCATGGCGTCTTCCGTGTCATCTGCGCACACACGCACAGGCGCATACACAGAAGAAGCTTCTAGGTGTGCGGTGGCCTTGAACTTGAGCTCATTACATCTGTCTCTCTCTCTCTGTCTGTCTGCCCCCTCGCCCCCCCTCTCTCCGTGTTAAACTTGACCTTGACCCTCAGGGGCCAGCCGGCCCAGCAGACCACACTGTGAGAGGCACTCTGTCACTGTGTGTGTGTGTGTGTGTGTCTGTGTGTGTGTGTGTGTGTGTGTGTGTGTGTGTGGTGTGTGTGGTGTCCACTGCGGGTCATGCTACAACACTTCAGAGGAAGCCATGTTGGTGTTCATATGTTCAGGTGTTGATCTGATGGAGACACACCACACCTTCACATCCAACTGTGATACACATTTAGCTTTAAATCGTCTTGTTTTCTCCCTTCCAAAGACATTTGACTTTTTACGCACATCCTCCAGTCTCCATATTCCATACTGTGAATCCTCACAGTATTTTGCACATTTCTGTTCAACTCTCCCTCTTTTAAAACACCACAGCTCTGCCACTTACATTCTGGTATACTGCACGTTAGGTTTCAGAGAAACTTGTCATAATCTGTTTGTATACTTGCTTTGTTGTATATTTCTATTTTTTGTGCATTTAAATAAAAAAGTTCTGCCACTTTTCACAACTGAATTCCTCTTATCTTGTTTTTGTTATTATACACCAAAGCAATGTGTAAACCTCCCTAATATATAAAACAATTATTGTTCCGACAGTGATGTATCAATGACATGTAGCCATACAGCATCATCAAAAGCACTTTCTTGTTAACTTTGTAGTCTTATTTATCTTTCCTGTTGTCATCGGGTCAAATGTGGGGATATAAGTAAATTGTATGTTAGTCCCAGAAAAATAACGCTTAGTGCTTAATAAATATCAAACCGGGAGGACAAAAGTGAATAGGAAGACAACATGGGTTATTTATTATCTTATTTTTATAATATTACTATTTATTTATATACTATTAATATATTACTTTTTTACTTCAAAATGTATTCTTATTGGAAATGTATTTAAAAACACAAACAAAGAAAATATCTACAAGGGACGCTCTCCTTTGCCTTTTCACGGAGCTTTCATTCCCACGTTGCGATATTTATCAGCGAACACCAACAACCAAAAGTGGACATTCACCCAAAGTTATTTTAATTAAAATGATTCATACTATTGTATTGTATTATATCAAAAATAATACGTTCAACCTTAACTGCCATACGTTAGACCGAAAAAAAGGCACGGTTCTGTCTCCATGTCTAAACATCAGGTTTTAAATGTGTCCTTTTCACCGTAATCTGTGATCATGTTTTTCATTCAGCCTTCAGTGGATTTGTCTCCACTGACTGCTCAGATTAGGAAGCTTGGCCCTGTCCTCCTCCCTCACCTGTCCTCCTCCGTCACCTGTCCTCTGCTGCTTTATTAAGTGGAATCTGATGTAACAAATATACCTTTGCAGAATCAAGTATTCGCTGCCCAGCATTATGGAATACTCCTGACCCGATGATCAAAAATAAAACAAAGCTTATCCTTCAGACATGTTGCTATTGGCTCACCGGTTTATCCGAACACAAAGATTCCTCGTGATCTCAAGGTTACATATAGATATCAAACATGTGCAAAAATATGGCGTATAGCGTTTAATAAAATAATACTCAATCAGAAAAATGCATGACGCTTAAATCAGGCCTATGTTGTGTTTTATATTTTATAAAGAGAAATATGTGATGACTATCAGGGTTCACCCACTACGACAACACTGGATCCTTTTGGCAGTCAGTTATTAACACACGAATTTGTCTCTGATTTGTATTTTGTTAAAGGAAGCTTAACACCTAAAAGGCCACATGGATGAAAAGTGACAGTGCTTGGAGTCTTTTATCCGGACATATGTCAACAATCTTTGTGCAAGAAAAGTGTCAGAAATATGAGTTCCGCACAGCATGAGACTCACGCTCACATATATAAACCCGTAAGCAGCCGGTGAAATGATTACGCAAATAACACGGCTCAGAAGTACGGTGGAAACCTGACTGAGGCGCTTTGAACCAAATATTAAAACCTCCAAATCCTTTCATAAATCCCCTTCCTCCACTCAGATGGTGAGAGCGGGAGAGACACAGAGGCTGAGAAATGGGCAAGTAGGTATAATTATTAAATCTAATATTTCTTTTGAAACCCTGGAACTGCTCCTGGAAGTCTCATTACATGTCTTTTGTTTTGTTATATTTGTAATGCTTTTGTGACAACATAAACCCTGTTTTCATATATTTGGCAGCGTATGTAAATCTTTAAAAGTGTCCTTAACTCTCCAATATCTAATATTTAGAATTATTATTAGCATTTATCGCACTTTATATTCGATGTAAAAAGTTTGCTTTCTATTCCATCAGTGTCTCCTGCAGGTGTGTTCATTGTAAATTCAGTACAATACAATATTTACCTTACATGAATTATATCAGTGTATCAGTGTTTCAGGTTATATCATCTATGAAAAGATTAAAAGAACTGGGGGATTATATGTAAAACGAAATGTACCATGTATTATTAATAAACGTGACCCATACATTAATAGATTTAATGTTAACCTAGTTTGAGCGCCGTCTCCCTGTGCGTCTTTACGCACAGCACCGAACTGTCTGTAAAGAGATTTTTTTTTGTGTCACTATGATAATATCTGTCTCTCTGTGTTTGACACACTGCGCTGCGGCACATCCAGGGAGCTGACCCGCTCCAAAGCTCAGCTCCTCTCGTGCCAGCTCGAGCCTCATAAACATTCTTTCTTTGACTGACAAGCCCCAAGTCTCTTCTTCTCCTTCTTTTTTTTCTGTTGCCCCCTCACGTGATCATCCGGTTTCATCCAATGGACTCGCGACCCCCCCTGCTCTCGGGGGCTTGTTGCGTCAAGGCTGCGGCTGGGATGTAACCGGAGGTGCGGCCGGTTACCGGGAGTCTTTGCTTCCAAGCGAGTGCAGTCACCAAACGGCGCAGTGAGGCAGCGCACGCGTGCTATGAGGGTGCGCGTGACGGTAGGCCCTACATATGAATGACCTGAGTCTGCGATCAGAGGAGAGTAAATGCGCAACAGTTCTTTTCTTTTAGCCGATGTAGCAGCTTAGCGCGCAGGAGCGGACAGTCAGAGCGGAAACGGCAGCGCGCGGAGGACACACCGGGAAAAGGAGCGCATATGACCACCTCCTTGGTTCTAAACCCTCGCTGGCCAGCGGACACGGTGATGTTTGTGTATGAAAACAATCTAGACGATCTGAACAAGAACATGGAGGGGCTGGTGGGCAGCAGCAACTTCGCCGCGAGCCAGTGCCGCAACATAATGGCGCACTCTGCGGCGGCCGCAGCTCTGGGCGGCCACCCGTCCGGCCTGGTGCACTCTTCAACCGGATACCCCACGGTGGAGGTGTCCGCGTCAGGCTCCAGTGAGACAGGCGGGCCTGCGGGGAAGCAGTGCGCGGCAGGACCGTGTCCTGGTGCCGCCATGCCGCACCAGAGCTCTTCTGCCGCCAACTCGTTACCATACAGCTACTTCGGTAACGGCTACTACCCGTGCAGGATGGGGCGGGGTTCTGTGAAGTCTTGCACTCAGGCTGCGGGGCCCGCGCTCAGCTCGCAGTACATGGACACCACGGTGAACCCCGACGATTACCCAAACCACCGCGCCAAAGAGTTCGCCTTTTATCACGGATACCCGAGCCCGTACCAGTCCATGGCCAGCTACCTGGACGTGTCGGTGGTCCAGACGCTGGGCAGCGAGCCGCGCCATGACACGCTGCTGCCGATGGACAGCTACCAGCCCTGGGCTCTGACAAACGGCTGGGGGGGACAGATGTACTGCAAGGACCAGGGCCAGGCAGGACACCTCTGGAAGTCTGCTCTGGCTGGTAACACTTGACATTCTCCTTTTAAACTCGAAGTCACTGTAATATTGTTCTGCTGCATTTAGTTATTGTGTGACATTTCATCAGGAATAGATCATGGAGTGTTGACGTTGCCAGTGCATGATATGATTAATGTGCTCTGATAATTAAACACACTCTTCATTAATTTGAAACATAGTGAAATTAAGATCTTAGAACAGTGAGCTCGTGTGTCAATCTGACAGTTTCTGGTGCTACTGGTGCACAATAATACAAGCTGTTTGGAGTCAGTGTAACATAACATCAATCAGAAATGAATAGGATATTCTCATCTGTCACTGTAGAGGATATTTGTAATATTCACATTTATGTCGCCTCATTATGCTCCAAAGGGAATAGGCCATTAATTCATTAAAAGGTCTTGTTGTGTGGTAGCCACCGTGCAACTCATCTGTTGCGTGTTGTTTATATGGGCGACTTCTGCTCATATTGTTAACATACAGAACACGTAGGCCCATATCAATTAATTATAATGAACATGTATTGTTTGATCTGAAATTAAGCTTTTTTGAAAAAACAAGACAAAAAGAGATCATTCTGAAAAATATCAAGCACCACCAAATGATTACTAAAAAATGACCATGCTTTAAGGGTTATATGTGCAATAACAAAACATTATAATGTGAATATAAAATACATTATTGTATATTGTCATTTAAAGAAATATATATATATATATATAAACTATATAAGTCAATATAAAATCGCAAATCAAGCATGTTAGTAACTTTAAACATTTATTGACATAGTTTCTTGTTTTTTCTTCCAATTCCTATCTGAACTAATCCCCACTTTAATTACCAAAACATGTAATATAGCCTATACATATACAGGTGTATACACTATTTAAACATCTTCTGACCCCTTCGCTTTCAACACAAAGTGTTACGGCAGAGATGTGTCTCCGTGTATTAGCCCCCCCTCCTCAGACCTCCTTCTCTTTGTCCTCGGTGCCTAGATGCCGTGGCGCACCAGCACGACGGCTCTCATTTCCGCCGCGGCAGGAAGAAGCGGATACCGTACACCAAGCTGCAGCTGAAGGAGCTGGAGAAGGAGTACTTCGCCAACAAATTCATCACCAAGGACAAGAGGAGGAAGATCTCCGCCGGCACCAACCTGTCCGAGCGGCAGATCACCATCTGGTTCCAGAACCGGCGTGTGAAGGAGAAGAAGTTCGTGGCCAAAGTGAAGACCCCCGCTCCGTAGCGCTTTGGACGATCAAGTGAAGGTGTATTTGCGTGTTATGCATTAAAAATGAACTGAGATAAATGTCAAAAAAGGTGGGAAATAACTAATTGACGGACTGGGACCGTGCTTAACCGTGTGCGTCAACAAATGGAAGATAACATGGACACAAAGGGACAAAATAAGACCCTCTCCTGTGAGGCCTCCTGTAAATACAGCACCTTCCTGCCTGCCTTATGTAACTGTCCTGTCTACTGTCTGTTTTCTGCTTGTCCGTGTTGTCCGTGCTTTGTAGCCCAAATATATTATGTTGTCCAAATTGTTTATAACGCCTGTAAACCCGTAATCAAAGTATAGTGCAATTAATAAACACTTGTAATCCCGGTGGAAGTAGCTCTTCAAATTCATTAACTGGCCATTTTGGTTTCCTGCGCGTAATTTGTCTCTGGTCGCCAAACTATGCCCGTAAAAATGTGCAAACAAATGCGCATATTGTCAGGTTGAAAGGTGATCCGCGCACATGGAGGGGGATTCTCATGCAGATCAAATGTGTTTATGAGGCTGTGAATTCATCTGGATCAGGCCACCCTCTGGAACATCCCCACAGCAATGCTATCCATTTCCTATCGCTTTACACGCCCGTGTGAACACGATCTGCCACTGATCAAACACAAAAAGCATCAACATTCTTAAATCGTGTTGTTAAGCTGTGAATTTAAAACTTCAAAGCGTGAGCAGAAAATCACTTTATTTAGGAAGTCTCCTCCTCAAGTGAACATGTTGCTTATATCTTCCTCTAGCAGCTCACTAAATCTAGATTATGACCAAAGCATTGCAACCATGTGACGCAGAGATGGGAGCAACACATAAATAAATGTAACATGATCTAAAAGCCATACAAAGTGAAACCTCATAGTTGCTGTCTGTTTGTTTAAATAACCAGAAAATAGTGCTAACAGTGGAAAGGGTTTAAAAGTGTTAGTTAGAAGCTGTGTTGCATTTATATTATTTATCCCTGTAAATGTGATCAGATACACAATTAGTCCATTTAATGATTCAGATGCTTTATTTTGTCATACGCAAAATGGCTACAGCCGAGTTGTCATAGATCAAAAGCCCCACCAACATGGAATATTCTTAAAAAATAAAAGACGAAAATAGTGCAATAAAATAGCACAATAGACATAATAATTCAAGTAGGCCTACGTGCAGTAGGCTAATAAAAGGAATGCATACAACATAGAATAGGATGAATTCAACACTGTTCAGAAGAAAATTGTATAATAAATATATGGTCAAATATGTATTAACCCTTAGATGCATAAGTGGGTATTTTTTGACCCGGTGAGGTGGTTCCTTAGAGTATCTTTGTAATTAAAAAATGTTATCATTTCTTATTCCAGCTATTCCTCAAAAAATATGTTTTGGATATCATGCCATTCACATTTTAAATTTACATTTTAAGAAATTGTAGTGTTCTTATTACCAAGCTAAGGTCTTTTTGGATTTTTTTTTCAAAATGTAAAAAAAATGTCTAAAATTATAAATAGTGAAAAATTCAATATGAAATATTTCTAGTGTGAACCAGAATATAATACTAAATATTATACAAGTGATTTGTCTTAACCAAAATGACAAAAATGGCATAAAAACACATATTATTCTAATACGGGTCCTTTTAGACCCACTTATGGAAGAGTGTAGGGTCCACTCGTGCATCTAAGGGTTAAGGATGGAGCAAAACAATTTTAAAATCACGAAATAGAAAGTGGCAGAGACAGACGAAAAGTATAGTTTTAGTTTCCAATGTCTCCAATTTACACATTATTTGAACAGTGTGGACACATGTCGAATTTTATAGAGTAGTCCTTCTAATTACACTTTTGTTTGTGGTGCATATCCTTGTAGACTGCATTGTGTGTGTGTGTGTGTGTGTGTGTGTGTGTGTGTGTGTGTGTGTGTGTGTGTGTGTGTGTGTGTGTGTGTGTGTGTGTGTGCGTGTGTGTGTTTTTTAGAGAGAAGCCCTTGACCTTGAGAGTCATGTGACCAGCTCAGGCTCGCCTCTGAACATTTTATGACAGCAGAGGGTTGTGTTGTCTAGTCTGATAGAGACCCCCTCCATGCACCACCCCCCAGCCCCCCCCCCCACACACACGCACACATACACACACACACACACACACACACACACACACACACACGCACGCACGCACGCACATACACACACACACACACACACACACATACACACACACACACAACTGCGGCAGGCGGCAGCTCCTCTCATGGATCCGATGGAGCGTTCACGGCGTCAAGTGAGTGTCGGTGAGTTGCGACACATGTCTGTCTGAACATAGAGAGATGGCAGCAGCAGCAGCAGCAGCAGCAGCAGCAGCAGGAGCGGCAGGAGTCAGGTTAATAGAATATAATTATGTTTACTTAAAAAGCCAGTAGTTTTACATCCACACTCAACAAGAACCCACAGACACACGCGCGTAATGTCAATGTTGTTTATAGGTTTTAGATCTCCTCAGCGTGCTGGCGTTGGAGAGTCAGTCATTGTAATTCCTCGCATAGTGTGGAGGATTTCAAAGCCTCGCTCCACATTGTGCCAACACAACACTGTGTTTCCTCTCAGACAGTTTACTGAACTGTGTTGTAACTTGTGTGCATAACAACAATCTGTCCTAGACACTCAAAAAACGAATTGGTACCCTAATTCTGCTCTGAAGTCTTACCAGTAAAATACGAAATAGAATAAACATGAACATAAAAATACTATCGTCAGTTTAAGTTTTACATATATAGTTTAACTCTATCTATTACACGATCTTAATGTACAGAACACGGACAATAATGTATACTGTGAACATTTGTGACGTATTAAACATCTTATCAAAGGTTATTGATCGTCTCCGCCGAAACGCACCGACAGATGTGACCTTCACACACTGAACATTTCACTGTACACACTAGCAGATTAAATGCTTTCATATCAGGAATTACACACCTTCAAGACACTATTGAGATAGCTGTCGACTCAATATTAATGTTTTGTTTCAGGAAAGATTTAGATGAATGAAGACGCGAACATCTCAGCCAACAAATGTAAATGCAATAAAACAAAATGTGAAGAAATGTTGTTTATTTTTGAAATGTATTTGCACATAATACACATTTTGTGCATATTTCAGTTAGCCATGCAATTCGTTGGTTTCTACACGATAGCACTAGAACATGTTGGAAAATGTCCCTTTTTTGCGCATTGCGTTTTTGCGCATGTTCATTTACCTTTGAAAGAAAACGGATATAAATGAACCCTGTTCTCACTAAGCATTACATTTGAACAGACTTCTTCACGACATATTTAAACTTTGTCATGTTCTGCTGTTGCGGGCCTTCTGCAGTTTGATGGAAACTATAATGTCTTTAAGATAAAGTAAAAACACGATATGCGCATGTGCGTGTGCGTGCAACTAATGTGTATAGAGAGTTACATTTTAATTGAATATACCTTCATGTGGCTAAACAGATGGAGCAGATTTTCTGAAAATATGAGTTATGAACAGTTTGGCCGTAGAACTGAAACCAAACGTTAAAACAGAGCCGGTGCAATGTGGTGATGAACTGTCCGGCAGCACAATATACAATATCATATATCATATCATATCATATCATATATAAAAATTAAAATGCATTTAAATAATTATAATAAGATCAAATAGATGCATGTAACTCATGATTTATCTTTTTCATATAGGGATATGTTCATTTTTGTATATCATTTAAAAGATAATCTCGATGCCGGTGTGTGTGTGTGTGTGTGGTGTGTGTGTGTGTGGTGTGTGTGTGTGTGTGTGTGTGTGTGTGTGTGTGTGTTAAACATTAACATTGAACTTGAATCGTCTCCTCCTTTAAAACCAACAATACTGACGGAAGCTCTGAAGCTCATAAACCCTCTCTCCCCTTTAGTCCAAACAAATACCAGAGGGAGGAGGAGGAGGAGGGAGGAGGAGGTAGGAGGAGGAGGAGGAGGAGGAGGAGGTAGGAAGGAGGAGGAGGATGGAGGGAGGAGGAGGAGGAGAGGAGAGGGAGGAGGAGTGATGTGAGGGAGGAGGAGGAGGAGAGGAGGATTAGGATTTAGGATTAGGAGGAGGAGGAGGAGGAGGAGGCGGAGGGACGGAGGAGGAGGAGGAGGAGGAGGAGGAGGAGGAGGAGGAGGAGGAGGAGGGGAGGAGGAGGAGGAGGGTTACTTCTTCTCAAAACACTACACCTCACTGCAAGCCAACGATATATTTGTTCCAGTCCAATCAAATTTAATTTATTTAAAACATTTACAGAGAACATTGCAGTTACAGAAATGACAGGGGCAAAATATATAATAATTATTTTGTATTTCTTTCCACCTGATATGAATGAAAACATCACACATGAACTGAGCGCTTTACTTTGGAATGGGACTTTAAAGAAGTCATGCAGGAACATCATGATTTCAAACATCAGTCAAAGCTAGAAGCGTTTCAATGCATTTTTGATAAATGACACACAGAGAAGTGTTATTGAATAAATATGAACTATAACAATATTGTTAGGGTTAAAAACACAACAAAATAGATTCAATATTTGATATCCTATGTCAGTATTTACTCAGGTATTTGTCCTTTACTGATCTAATCAGAGACATTCTAAAGAATTGCTAATGGTAAGTGTAACAATAAATCAGTTGAATGTTCTTCTGCAAACATAACACAGAACACATCATAATAGAATGGGCTGTATCATCTGAAAGAGGTCACACCAGGACTTTCCATACTTTCACTAAAGTGTTCTTGTTTTACTGCTCGCTCAGGAACTTTACACATCAGTGAGATGAGAACAGCTGCAGTGAGCCTCCTCCAGCCTGTAGTTACACTAAGAGGTCAAAGGTCAGGCCTCAATGCATTCATATCACACTGAATATAAGAGAATAGTGAAAGGCAATAATAATCCATTGCAAACAACAAATGGAGGTCACCAAATAT